TACTGTGTTTACCGTTGCTTCTCAGTGAGAAATACATCCCTTGGAATGTTAAAGGGGCACTGACACCCCAAAGGTCGTATTTATTTTTATTGTCTAAAACGATGCAAGTTGCAGTCATACCCACGCAAAAAAAACCGCATCGCGAAAAAAAATTTTCCCGCGCGCGCGCGCGCCTTTTTATTTTTGGCTGTTGATTTTCCTGCCTCTCGCCTCCTCGCTTCTTTTGATCGGTGACGTCAAAAATCAGGAAATTTAGAAGCTTTGTAGGCGACATCTCTATAACATTTAATTACGGCAATCCTAAAACATGTTTTTTAACGCAATTGCGAACGCACTACGGCCCTTCTTTTTGAAATACCAAAAATCGGGAGTTCGTTGTGGTGCCGTCTCCTGGATTTGTATCCTCCAACGGAAAACAGGCGACACCGCTCAAAACCGGTCCGCGCCGCCGCTCACTCCTTTCCTCCTCGCTTTGGGTCGCCATGGCAACAGCAGGGAGTGGTGAAAGGAAGTCGACTCTCAGGTCTCCTCAATTTTTGACGTCAAGGCACCGGCGCCGATCGCGCGGGAACTTCGAATTCGGCATTTGGAAATTGTTTTTTTACTTCACGAATACTGAATTCCCAAATCTCAAATTTTGTGGGTAATGTCCCGGCATCGTTTTCAATCGTTTCGGATAATAAAAAAAAAATATGATTTTGATGTGTCAGTGCCCCTTTAAGCAATAATATTGGAGAGCAATATTGGTGCGAAAGCAGAGCCACATTTGTAACATTGTTTCCGGACTAGGTGGTCCCTGAGCAACAGACTTCTTTTAAATTATCAATATAAAAGGCACATGGGTAGTCGAGGAGGGGGGGGGGGGGGGTAGTAATTAAGTCAGGTATTGTTGAGTGTATGTTACGCGTGTGTGGGTCTTGTGTGTTTAATGTATATTACGTGTGCAATTGTGAAATAAATGCTGTGCAAATGTGAATGTAAGCAGTGTGGGGAAAAACTCTATCGCAGCGACAATTATGTTTTGCCGATATTGAATTTCACGTTCACTAGCGCCACCTGGGTCTTGCGACAGTTAGTACCAGTTACAACCTAAAGGTAGCAAAATATACTAGGCTGGTTAATAACCTTGACCTAGTAACCGTTACAAGCTTGACCGTTACTACCAACGGTTACTAGGTACCTAGTAACATAAGTGGCAAGCGGTTGCTAGCTTTTACCTAGTAAATACTACTAGCTTTTATTAAGAGTGTTGCCAACACAAGTGTTAACACGCAGGCACAAGCAACGAAAGTGCTGCGGAAGCCAGCGAGCATGCGCTGAAGAGATGTCCGATCTGATACTGTTCCTTTGAACGCATATAAACCAAAAAATGAGCCCCCAAATTTTGTTGTAGTGTCGCTTTAAAGGGCTACAGAGACGAAATGTTTGCCCTTATTTCTTTGATCACTTTGATTATAGGTAGTCAATGTAGTGCCGGGAGCCGAGAAACACTAGCCTAGACTAGTGTTTCTGGGCTGGTGGCAGAGAAATCAAGAAAACTAATTTTAAAAAGAATTATATACTTAAAAATTACGTCTGATTGTGGCCTGTGAATCTCTTTTGTAATGCCGCCACATCATGAGCTCCCAAGAGGCAGCAGCAGTTCGGGACAGTATGACTCGCTTGTGGAGTTACTTAGCCCTAAATGTGACTTGGCGGATAAAGCTAACGGGTTTACTACGTCGTATATGTTAGAACTCCCACAGTACTTCCAGAATGTGTATGCCACACCATCAAGATCGCCATTCTTTGCAGACGTTAGGTCTGACGTCAGGCAGACGTTAGGTCTAGGCTTGATTTAAGGATGCGGGGGCCTTTGCACGGCCAACCACATCATACCCCCCCCCCTCCCCCCCCCCGCCTAAGATGCGCTGTCAATAGCCCTCCCAAATATGGCATACATTGAATACCTCATATACATAGCTTGCATGTGTCCTCACTGCTGGGTACTCACGGTTATTTCTACTTACTGTTTTTCTCAAGCTACTGCTTCTAGGTTCGAAACTAATACCCTTGTTACACGGGCACACTTAACTGCAGTTACGCTAAGCCACACTTAGCGCACAATACTTGCCGACAACGTTCTGCGGCGATGCAGTCAGAGCTATGGGCGAACGTGCGCGGCAGCATCTTGAGCACCCATCAAAGCAGTGCACGCGCTCTCTTCACTTCTTTTGAAATAGCTGTCCGAGGGTATAGTGCGGCATCTGTGCTGCCACGTAACCGCAGTTAAAGCTGAGTTAACCGCGGTTAAGTGTGCCCGTGTAACAGGGGTATAACACGGTGAACCGAACGCTCGAAGCACATAAAATACCAGCATGGCCGCGGATGACGTAACGGGCAGGCTATATATATGCCATAGGGCGTACAGTCCTCGGACATTACTATTAGACACGATTGCCACGAGTTGACGCCGCCAAGCGGTAAGGCTCGCAATTACAGTACCCTTAGCCGTGCAAGGACTATTCACGTCACGAGCGCGATACGGCTTGCGCTTGTCGCTGGTCGACATTGAGGCGAGGGGCTGAGAGCTCGCGCTCACATCATTTTCATTTCATACCCCTTTAAGGGTGAACGGATTATACACGTTTTCCACAAGGGCGCAGCCATTTTGAATGTCGTCACTTCTGGTCTGCGGTAAAACTTCGTTTTTTATCTATCCATGCCGCTGAAAGGTGTTTACGAAAAGTGTGTGATTGTCACACATTCCTGTTCTGCCTCAACTGAATTTTCTCGCATATTTCAGGTTAAAATGTTTTAATATTTTTTCGTCCCGCATACCAGATACGGAACCCACGTGACTGAGAATGACAGGGAACAGAAAACGTCTATTAGCCTCAAGATCGACCTAGAGTTGGCGCTACTGTCGCGCTATCATCATTATCAAAGCGCCGATTAAAGGATCATCATCATCATCAAAGCGCCGTTGAGAGCCTATGGGGCAGCCTATGGCTGCCCCATAGGCTCTCAACGTTCGCGCGCGAGACGGTGTAGATTCCTGTAGCAGACTATCGGTGGGTTAACAATTTTAGCGGAAAATGGTGAAGTACCGTTCGGTGCTTCAGCGAAGATCGAATCGTGTTACCAGCGTACGGCCTAAATATAAATCATCGCTTGTGTGGATGCGTCGTCTGCTCTAGGCAGACGTTGGGAAGCATGGATCACCCTAACGGATGCCTCTCTCCGGGTGGACTTATGTTATGTATTTGTTTCTTTTAAAATAGATGTATCACTTCACCAGGGGAATTAATTAAAACAATAAATTCCAACCCGGATAGCATAATACGGGTATTGTGGGCTCTGAAATCGCATGTTCTATGCGTTTTTGTTTTTGTAACTTTTAGCTTTTGCAGTAATATAAATATTTAGCATGAAGAGAAGTTAGTGCTGTATCGGAAATTACCGTGCTATTGAGTTCCGCTGCAGTCAATGTTACCCTTTACTGTGCCATGGCGTGGGAAAGTCTTTCGGAGTCGGAACAATTCCACTTTTTTGCGATGAGGGCCTCCTCTAGTTACGATCCAGAAGCTGTTCGTTGGCAGGACAACTGAAACAAGTGAAGCAAACTACTCCAATATATCGGCCGCGAGTGTAACAAACGGGTGTCACCGAGCAACGCAGTAGCGTGCGTGTTAATTATTAGATGCTTTTTCACGGTAGTGTGGTTTTGCCCGCTTTCATTTTCTCGGTGAGGGCCTCGAATGTCAAAAGGCTAATATTATAAATTTCTGGCTCAATAATCTTCTATTTAAACATAGTAGACTTTTTAACTACAACAAACGACTCGCACCAGGACACGGACGGCATGAGCCGCAGCGACACTCTTTTGCTGATGAGGTCTAGCGACACTCACGGCACATTCCGATCACCCTCCGCCCTCACCTAACGCATATCGGGACTGGAAAGTTCGTCGATTAATCTCCAGATTATTAAAGTAACGCTTTAATTGCGATACATTTCTTTGCAGTTTAATCGGAATCTTGCGGTGGAGAAAGTCAGGAAAAAGTAAAAGAAAAAAAAAAAAGCCTGCTTTAATATTTTGGATGTCTTTATTTCTTTTAGGACAAAGGCTTGCACAATAAACCACTTCAGCGTGCTTGTGATTGGTATCATAAATGGCAATATGCCATCTACGACATAGTTTAAATTGTAAAAAAAAAAAAAAAAGTGGTCTTAACGTCTTTGATACATTATGACCGGTGAAAAATCAACGAACGGATTTATCAATAGATTAATGTAATAAAGGGTAGCGATCAGTCGGATTAATTTTTTAATCGAACCACAGCTCCAATCAACATTCAATGTTTCATGAAAGTTATGGTTTGTGCGAGACAACCAGAATATGTGGGACTAACGGTTGTACACAATCCACAACACTAATATTATGGAAGCATCCGATTTAATAATAATCGCTTTGCTCATTTTTCGCACGCATGAAACGAAATAACACAACCTTTAGTAGGAAGAAAGAAACGAGAACAAAAGCAACAAGCGTTTAACGAAAAGGGCTCACAGCCGGAAACGGGCTTGCGTCGTCGAGATTCATGTTTCTGACGTGCGCCCGTAGCGATGCACGTCGGTATCCCCGCTTTCGCATGCTTCCGATTTCGGCCGCACGGTGGCGACACCGTTCGATCTCGAGGCGAATAGCGTAGATGCTTTGCCTCCACCCGTATTGTGTACAGATAGAATCGCCACGTGCCTCGTAGAGAAACATGGACAAACAAGCGCACACTTCCCCTAATTCGACCTGGTTTTCGAGACGAATCCTGTCGGGTCATGTGCATGCACATTTTTAATCTACTCATTTCTTATCTTGAAAAGTAAACAAGTAGTCCCTCCGTTACTTAAAACCTACTAAATTCAAGTAACGCGTTACATGAAACGTGTTACGGACAAGTCTGCCCGTGGTCAATGTGGCAGGAGACACCGCTGGTGCCGGGTGGCGCCTCTACCTGACCGTCGTGGCGGCGTACATGGCGTCGCTGTCGTTCGGCCTCACGGGCACCTACTCGGCGCCTGCCCTGCAGGACATCCGTAAGCACATCCACTTCACCGAAGACGACACCGGATGGTTCGGCGCGCTGGCTACCCTGGGTGCAGTCTTCGGAGGTCTGGTTGGAGGTAAGTGAAAAATCACATCTGTTGTTTGAAGAAAAAAATATGAAAGCCGTTTGCAACTCCCTGTAACGCCGGATTAGAGCGCAGCTCTTAGGAGGAGGATGGAAGGGTACTGAAGGATAACTGACTTCCTAAGGTCACGGGACCTCAGGGGGATCACATGACATCAGGGGAGTCACGTGACCTCAGGAGGTCACGTAACCTGAGGGGGGTCACGTGACCTAAATTTAGCGGGGAATTTTTCCCGCTTAATTTAGCAGGCGATTTTTTCCGCTAATATTAGTGGTGAAAATATTCCGCTAAATTTTGCGGGGAAAATTTTCCGCTAAATTTAGTGGTGAAATATTTTCGCTAAATTTAGCACGGAAATTTTTTTCCAGTAAATTTGGCGGGGAAATTTTTCCGCTATATTGGACGGAGAAAATTTTTCGTTCATTTTAGCGGGGAAATATTTTCCTCTAAAGTTAGCGGCGAAACTTTTTTGTTAAATATAGCAGGGAAATTTTTCCACTAAATTTAGCGGGGAAATTTACCCATCATAATGCACCGCGTAATTACGCCGACGGCGACGGCGACGCCGCTCAAGCCGGAAACAAAACGCCTAAAAGCTGCGCTCTAAAAAAAAAAAAAAAAAAAAATCTACGAATTTTTTATCTGGAAAACAATCATCTGAAGAATTATTATTAAGTGCCGACACAACAGTGCTTTACTGACGCACGCAGGGCAGCTTGTGAACTGGCTGGGCCGCAAGGGTACGCTCCTCTTCTCAACGGCTTCGTTCACTTCTGGCTATCTATTCATCATCTTTGGACCATCCACCATCATGCTTTTTGCGGGCCGGTTCCTGACAGGCGTCGGCATTGGAATAGTGGCCCTCGCGGTGCCCGTGTTCATCTCCGAGATCTGCCCTGCAAACGTGCGGGGACTCCTAAACGCAGGAAGCAACATGGTCCTCACCATTGGTAACCTGATCGTCTTCGTCTTGGGCAAATGGCTCGACTACAAGTGGTTGGCTGCCTGCTGCCTCGCACCCAGCGTCATCATGGCAGCCACATTGCCCTGGTGCAATGAATCACCGCGCTGGTTGCTGCAGAAAGGCCGCCGCAAGGCGGCCATGGAGGCCCTGCAGTTCTATGTGGGCACCGAGATCGAGAAAGAGCTTGAGACTCTGGAGGCGAGCATCAGCAACGTTGAAGTGTTCTCCTTGCACGACCTCACATTGCCGCACGTTTACAGACCCTTTCTCTGCACACTCCTTCCTATGTTCATGCAGCAGTTTTCGGCGATCTGCATTATTCTCTTCTTTGCGAACGACATTTTCGCGGCCACCGGGACGTCCATGTCTCCCGAAGACTGCACCATCATCGTCGGTGTCATCCAGGTGGCCGTGCTGCTCGTGGCCACTCTCCTGATAGATCGACTAGGAAGAAAGGTCCTGCTGCTGTTTTCAACTGCCGTGACGAGCTTGAGCCTCGTCCTCCTAGGACTGTGCTTCGACTTCAGGAAGGCCCAAGGAGACGAGTTTCTCAAGTCCTACGGCTGGCTGCCATTGGCCGTGCTCAGTGTGTACTTTGCCGGTTTCTCAATGGGGTTGGGTCCCCTTCCGTGGGTCATCCTGGGAGAGATGCTGCCTCTTCGTGTCAAGGGCTTTGCCACTGGCATCTGCACCGCCTTCGGCTTTTCTTGTGGCTTTGTGGTCGTCAAGGAGTACCATGATATGCAGGAGTTCATGGGAACCGATGGCACATACTGGATGTTCGGCGCCGTTATAGCCGCCTGTTTTTTTGCCGTCTTATTTTTTGTGCCTGAAACAAAGGGCAAGAGTTTAGAAGAGATTGAACACCTGTTTCAGAAGGCGTCTTCGTTTGAGGATACAAAGAGAAGTAACGGAGCCGCGGTGGACAGGTTAAGGGCTTAGCACGAGTCTGGGCTTCTTTGAAGCAGTGAGGCAGGTTTTATTAAAATGAGAAGACAGGCGGATGTTTGGGGCGTTTTGGTAGATCATACACAAGAAATTAGAGAGTTTTAGAATAGGGGGCCCCAATGAAATAGGGGCTCACCACTGCGCATGCGCAGAACCCAAACTCCGGTGGGGTTTTGGGTTGGCGCTTGCCCTTAACGCAAAATTCGAGAAATAGCGTGAGGTCCCTGTTTGCTTGGGGCCGGGTTGCACCGGCAAACATGACGGCGCCCTTTCCGCTCGCTTTGGAGCAAAGTCGTCATGGTCGCTGCAGTATTGGCCAATTTCATTGCTAATGAATGGTGCAACCGGCTTTCGCTTTGCTTTATCTCGCTCAAGTCACAATGATTGAGCGGTGGGCTCGCCCCATTTAAAAGTTCATCCACGATTCTGGCCGTTCCTAAGCCTAAAAAGACGCGGTAACCGTTGACATGGCAACGTATTGCTACTACGAGGCTCCGAGTGGATTTCGTTCATTACACGGCCACCTGCAGCTTGAAAACAAGTATTTCAAAGTCGCTCCAGCTCATTTCTAAATAGAGCAGCTGCTCGCAGAGTATGCTCGCTCGCGTTCGTCTCAGTTTCGGCATAGTTGAAGGCCTAAATCTGTGGCGAGAGACGGTAAACGCGCATACGAACGCCCAGAATATCCCAGAATGAGCGCAAAATAAGAACGCACGACGGATTGGATTGTTACGGCTGAATACAGCTAACAACCTTTATACTGATTTTAGATTGTCTTTTGTTTTAGCCGGCTTGATTGGCATTTACTTTAGCTCTTACTTGTAAACAAAAAAGTACTTGCTCAGCGCATATGTTTTATCTTTATTCATATTTTTCTTTTTGAATAATTACGCTCGTAAGCCGCATTGGCGCTGCAAGCGGGAAACGCAAGCGCGCTGCGCTGCTTTGCGAAACCTCTATTCTATAAGCCGTCGACAAAAACCTCGTTATGTTTGGGTCCCCCAATTTCTTAAAGGAGCAATGCAACAATTTTTGTACTTTGCGCAAATACCGCTTAAAACGAATCCCTAACGTTAATGACCTATGAAACACGTGTTCGTTTTTCACCCCACGCAATAGAAGGCCCAGAAAAAAATTTTAAAAAAACGAGCAGCGTTCACCCCCTCAACTCGCAGCCAGAACAAGCGGCCACGTGATCTGGAGCCGATTATATGCCGCCAGTGTTGATCATAGCCACGCGCTGGGGTCGGCAAAGCGCAAGACACGCGCTGAGTTCCAGACATTGTTATGGCTCGGCTGTTGTCGTCGTTGCAGCGATTGGACATGGGTCACAACCCGAATGCTTCTCGAGCTAGCAATTGTTACTAGCCCAAGTCGAGTGCCCACGCAATGCTCGGGTCCAATCTATGAACCGCATTCAAATATCGTCACTTGGGTGTACTGCGATCCCCGAGTTACGTCATCAAATTTTGCAAAGGAGAGATTGAATGAAAATGATCGCTTTTGTCCTTGAAATTCCACCGCAACAAAGGAGTTTCTTGGCCAATGGCGTTGCGTGTGAGTATCCTTGAGTCCCAGATGTGCCAGTAAGCTCGTGTAGAGAGAAAGATATTCCAATTGAATATCGTTGCACAGCTCCTTTAAGGGAACCAAAACGCTGGGGCCCCATATTCTAAAACTCTCTATTTGCGTTGCCAGTATGGCCCCGTGCCATTGCTTTCAATAGGAGCTGAGCAAGCTCCCACGCGGCCTGCAATTTGCGGCGTACGACCTACGAAAATTTCTTAATGCTACCCAAACGCCAAAACGTCACTAACGCGGCGGCAATATATATCAAACAGGCTATGCTGAACGGAGCGCATATCTCAGTAGAAATGTCATATCACTATTAGAACAGAAAACTCGATTCGTTCAGACAGAGTGTCCTACCTGACCGCAGTCATTGGATACGAGCTCCGAGCGTTGTGGTTCAGCGGCTGTGACCTCACAAGCGTTGGATGGTTGTCACGGTCCAAGTCACAGGCCGGGTCTTCGCATCACCACTCGGGAACTTTTTTTTTTTCTAAATAAATAATTGTAGGCTGTGCTGAGTACAACTGAAACAATCTTATCTTCGTTGCCTCCTCTCACTTCCTATTCACTGAAGTTCTGACGAAGCGCGTGCTAAATCAATCGGCTCATACGTATTGAACATGAACGTCTATGAACTTCTCAAGTGAAGATCCACCTGAAAGTTGGTCTGTGATATATACTATAGCATAAGTAAATAACTGTTTTTGACATATACAAACGCTATTCTCTGTCTGATTATTCTATTTTCTGGTGGCAGCCATTAGGGAGTTTTAGTAAACCGTGTTTCCCGCTCCGCTAGCCCTCCGCTATGAAGAAACCGCCACTGCGCCTGCGCGCCGATGGCCTTGGCTGTAGAGTTCCGGGTAGCGGAGGGGCTTAGCGGAGCGGGAAACACGGTCTACTAAAACTCGCTAATATTGATCAGGTTTGCAGCGGATCCTGATCTGTGTATGTTGTACGGTGCGGCCTGCGAAATTTTACAAGAAACGCTTCCGACTAAATTTAGAAGGAATCATACGAAACGTTTGGTCCTATCCAATATGTTTACAAAATTACAACCCAGCGAACAAAGCACGCGCTGCGTACTTTGTTCGCTTGCCGAAGCGAAGAAAGACGCCACAACTGGAAGCGGCCAGAATAGACCTTTCCGGAAAATCCCAGGAGACCTTGCAACGAGGGGAATTGTGGGGCTGTTCATATGTACGCTCGTGCCGGGTCGAATGCTTCGTATATCTTGGTAGCAACACGATTAATTCTTTCTTATCGTTAGGAGCTCAGAACGCACGCAAAAATTATGTAAACACGCAAAAAAAAAGGATCATGACTACTTTTTCTTTTCTTCCGCCTTTTTGGCTTTTTGAAGTCACAAACTGTTAAATCAACGTCAACTTTGCTTTCGCTTCTTGGATAATTTCAGCTGTCGTACATCTGAACGTCACAATGCGTAAAGCGGACGCCGAGGGCGCCAGATCTTTCCGGAAAGCTCTATTCCTTTTAGAGCGCAGCTCTTAGGGGCCCGTTCCCGGCTTGAGCGGCGTCGCCGTCGCCGTCGCCGTCGGCGTCGCCGTCGGCGTAACCAAGGTCATCCCAAGGTCACGTGACCCCCAAGGTCACGTGACCCCTCCCAAGGTCATCTCAAGGTCACGTGACCCCACGTGACTCCCAAGGTCACGTGACCCCACGTGACCCCTCCCAAGGTCATCTCAAGGTCACGTGACCCCAAGACCCCACGTGACCCTTTGAAGGTCACGTGACCCCCAAGTCACGTGACCCCTCTGAGGTCACGTGACCCCCGAGGTCACGTGGTCTCCTCCCCAAGGTCACGTGACCCCCAAGGTCACGTGACCCCTCCCAAGATCATCTCAAAGTCACGTGACCCCCACGTGACCCCCAGGTCACGTGACCCCTCTGAGGTCACGTGACCCCCGAGGTCACGTGACCCCCTCCCCGAAGTCACGTGACACCCCCCCCCCCCCCCCCCCCGAGGTCACGTGACCGCCCCCCCGGAGCATATTAAAGAATGAGGGGAGGAGGAGGGGTCTACCCTCCCCTCAGTACCCTTCACTCCTCCTCCTCAAGAGCTGCGCTCCAATTCGGCGTTACAGGGATTTGTAAACGGCTTTCACTTTTTTGTAACAATCATGACTAGACAAATGTCATTTGACATAAGGACGCGTGCTAGCAGTCGTCTATGTGCCGCTCCAGTGTTTCTACAAATCCGGAGACAAAAATTCAATATCAATAGCACAGCACGCTCGAGTTTGTCGCAATGCAGATTTAAGAAAGCACGAGGCATAGACAAGATAAGTTTGACGAGCGTGTTGGGTTAGTACTCATTACGAAAAAAAGCGAAATACAAACAGGGGACAGAGACATGTCTACCTCTGTCCCCTGCTTGTGTTTTGCTTTTTTCGTATTAGGCATATACAGTACCATCAAAACTGGCAAAAGCCAAAAGCACTTAATTAAAAAAAAAAAGAAAAAAAATCCTGGGAGCTGCCTACCTAAATGGTGGCGCGTCTGCCGTGCTTCCGTCTCTTGACAAGCCCGCGCCGCTCGACTGTTTTAATTGCACTTTGAAGTCTTACTTTTCACAAGCAGCGGAACGGTGAGTACAACGTTGCGGAAATGGCTTTTCGCAGGTTCCTAAACAATCACGAAACGATCTTACGCTCTAAATATGCGTACGACAAAACCTAAAAAGAAAGTGATAATCACGAAAGGAAATTTTTGTAAGTTTTGTGTAAGTTACGATTAAATCCTACGACAGCTCGAACTGTGTCTTACGCACATTTTTACGATCAAATGAACATGTCCGACAGTATCGCCCCGTCTCTTCGTAACGACGGCCGACAGACTTTTTTTTTCTTCCACGTGCTCTTCACGTGCGTCCTGACTTCAAGCAGCGAGAAAGAGAAAAAAAAAACTACTTGAAATCAACCAAGACGGAGATGAACGCTGGATCTACAGACATCCGGAGAAAGCTACAACGGCGACGATCCCACCGACCAAGGGACTGCCAAGAGCTAGCTCGGCATAATATAGGCCTTGCAAGGCATTCCGACCTGCTCCGATGGCGTGTTCCTCCAACGCTCCCTGGCCAAGACCATGCCCACGATCGGTATGCTGGCTGAATGAAATATGCCTGCGGGACCCTTGTGGACTCTTCCCGTATGAATAGCTCGATTGCTATCCCTTTTTATCTCCTTGTTCTCCGAGGCAGGGGTGACGAATGCTCTCGTCGAATAAGGAAACTCTAATTGATTATATATTCTCGTTTTGTATGATACAGAGCTCGAACAAACGCTTCATGGATTACCTTCGCAGCGTTCGTTATGAACGCTTTGTTTTAGTATGCCCATTTTATTCCGACACCACGGTACGTCAACAGTGTGAGCTATAGTCAGTTACAGGTTAAGAAG